GTTCTGGAATTACTTATCTTATCAAGGCAAAAGAATCAAACATATTCAGATTTCATTTGGAGGGTGTAATCTGATTTTGGTCATTGTTTCAGAAAAGTGATCCCATAATTAGACTATCTTACTTAAAAATAATCTGAATGTGTTGCCAAAACATTTTTGAATTATGGAGGTTGGCCAAAAATGAAATTGTATTCAGATTCTGGTAAAGGTTTTGGTTTCAATACATATGTAAAAGACAGAATTAGATTATTTCTCATGGAAATAAGTAATGGGGCCACTAGTGGCCCACTCATTGGCCCAGCTCCACATCAAGTGGCACACATGCTCCAAATAATATACAAGTCTATCATTCTGGCCCACTCATCCACAACTGCCTGATATATAAGCCATGCTAGCCATTAGTAAAAAAAACAGGGACCAAAAAATGTGCTATCTGCATAATAATCAGCCAATGAAGAAAGACTCTGAGAAACTTGAAGCTCACATTACAGTTGGGTGAAGCATATCTGAATAAACTGTGCCAGTTCCAATCAAGGTGTATCATGAGAAAGTTAAGGATAGTCATCAGAAGCAGGATAGTCAACAGCTGCAACATTGTTAAAGTTGACACTATGTAGCCCATCATCAGCTCAACTCCCTGCCTAGTGGCCTACATATGTATTCACAATTAAATGGTATAAGTCAATCATTGTTGCCCTCAAGGTGCAATCACCTGGCAAGGTTGCTGGAGCTTATTTGAACAAAGATGACATGTAAATATGTGAATGGATCAAACTCACCAAGGAGGGGATTGGTTGACAGGTTCCTGCATTTAATAAAGATTTCTTGGGGTCAGTTTGAGATCTATACCAAGTTTTATTATACCAGTTTCAGGGCAGTCCTTTCATCAGAGTCCCCACAGCAGGTTCTTTGGATCTGGAAAATTGGGCAAGTGGTCTGTTGCTGCAAGAATGGAGGTAGTTACACTGAGCCACACTTCCTGATGGAGTCCATCAGGAGTCCAGGTAAACTCCTGGAACTGGATCAGGAGTCCACCTGGACTCCATCAGGATTCCATCAGGAGTCCATCAGGACTTCTCTCAAGCTAGCAACCATTATACACTAACAAAGAATCCTGCTGAACTCCAGGTATACTCCTGATGGAGTCCATCAGGATGGAGACTTTTCCAGGACTCCTGATCCAATCCCTTAAAACCCGAGCAGGACTCCACATGTAGTCCAGATAGGCTCCACTAAAGCCAATTTAATTTAATTTCTGTGCAAAAAACATTTGTTTCTTCGCAGATTCGAACTCCCCACTTCTTGCGGTAGCAGGAAAGACCACGCTTAACCACTGAGCTACTGACCCCCATTTTGTTACACAAATTAGGGCAACAAGTACCCATATAGATCACGTGACAGGCCGCGTCACCTAAACAAACCCAAAACGGCAACCACAACCGCGTCCACCACGACCCAGCAACAACAACCACCAGCACAACCACCAACACCTCCAGCACCTCCACCACTACCAACAATCCGGCGACAACGAGGACGAGGACGAGGGCAACGGCAACGAGGGCAAGGGCAAGGGCAAGGGCAACGAGGGCAACAGCAAGGACGACGGCAGCAAGGATGACAGCAATGACAAGGGCGACGGTGACGGTGACGGCAATGACAAGGGCGACGGTGATGGTGACAGCGACGACGAGGACAGAGACGAGGGCCACGGAGACGAGGGCCACAATACGATGACGGTACATCGCCCCCTCCCCCCTTTTTTAAAATACTAATCCCCACCCCCCACCACAGGTAATGATGCGTGATGACGATGACAACGGTATGTTGCCCCTCCCCTCCCCCC